TGAAAAAATTCTAATTATTCAAATTAAAGATGGAATAATTAATATATTGATGTAATTCAAATGTACTTTTGTGAATAAATAAAAATCACAAACATTCATTTAGTTCATCTACTGTTCTATGGTATAGAAAATTTGCTTGAGGAAAACTTAAGTCCAGGATTATCTTTTCTCAGATTTCAAGGTATTGATATGTCTTCACTGAAAACTTTAGTTCACCAACGTCAACAATGGAAAGTTTCAATGATGTTGAAACAGAACCTTATCAATATATTCCATTTCATATTGGTTTTTAAAACTATGAAAGTTCTTTTTTAGAGGACTTACCAATTTTAAGAATAAATTCCAGGAGGTAAGCAGCTAAAATAAAAAGGCTCCATATTTCCCTCTTACATGCAAGTAACATTTACTAAATTCTTCTCCATCTCTTTCTATATTTGGCCTTCCCCCATCTCATCCTCAGATTACCCTTCACCAAAATCAAAGGGAAGAAGAGGGCTGGACAGAAATGTCAGAATTGAATAATAGTATTTAATAAATGTTCAATAACTTTTAGTGTTTAATATACACAGTTTCAGAATTTCTTTATCTATAAGGATGTAATCTTAATTATTCTCTTCAGAGGGGGGTTGGAAGATGGGGGGAAGAGTAGCAGGGCTCATCCCATGAACATAACTAGATAACTATCAAATCATCCTAAATAAGACAGAAATTGACCTGAAGTCTGGCAGAACAAATTCCACAACCAAAAGTAGAGAAAAGCCTACATCAAAGAAGGTAGGAAGTGGGGAGATATGGTTTGGGAGAGAAATGGATTATGGCCACTGCAGTGGGGAGGGAGCTGTGGTCATGGAGAAAGGTGAGACAGACTAACACATGGGGGAGCAGACAAGGAAAATGAATCCCCATAGCAACAGCTTGGAAAGCGGGAGGCACTGAATTTTATGACTTTTGGCAACAAGTAGGCTTAAAACCTGGAGTTTTAAAGTTCACCAGGCTTGACTGGGATAGATCCTAGAGGACATTGCACTGCTCTTAGAGAGAAGGCAGGCAACAACCTGCATATATACACAGTAGAAACAGAGATGTGAAGAGCACCTGGGAAACACAGTGGGAGGTTGTTTTCTCATTTTGAAGCATGTCCCACAGAAGCTACATTAATGGAGAGACCCCTCTGGGAAAAAGGATCTATCAAACACCATTTCCCTCCCCTGCCCCATCAGCATAAGCACAGGGCCACCTGCAGGAGCCAGCACAACCCAGGCCTTCCTACCTGACTTGCTTACTCCAAGGACTACCTTATTTGATCCAGTAGAACCACCCTTCCCAGGCTTGCTTGACTCATTCTCAATGTGATGGGCTCCATCTCCCAGAAGACCAGTCCAAACCCTTGCTCACATCACATCTCTTGACTCGGGAGTTTGCATAGCCTCAGTTCCTGTACCAATGGCAATAGGTCTCATTTCACAAGCAGGTGAGAGCACATATAGTTAAATGCACCATGTTCAGGACAGGGACCAAACACTGCCCACAACAAAGAGAGCCTCTGCTCATGATTGGCCTGTAGGATAAACTGACCGGGATAAAACAGCAGAGCACATGCACCACACATTGGAGACACTCCCAGAAGCAACAGGCCTAGGGCAACAGGGGACACGACATGTCAAGGCACTATAGGACATCTACTTCACACAAAAGAGGAGGAGTTGTAGCTGACTTTCCTAAAACACAGAAACAGGCATAGAAACTTACAAAAATGAGAAGACAGAGAGATATGTCCCAAATGAAAGAAAAAGACAATGCCACAGCCAGAGATCTAAGCAAAACAGATAGAAGTAACATGCCTCATGGACTATTTAAATCAATGATCATAAGGATACTCTCTGGACTTGAGAAAAAAGTGGAAAGCAGAAGTGAGATGCTTAACACAGAGATAAAGCATAACATAGCAGACATAAAGGGCTCTAAATGAAATGAGAAACATTCTTGATAGAGTGAACCGCAGGCTAGAAGAAGCAGAGGAATGAATTAGTGACCTAGAAGACAGAGTAATGGAAAGTAAGAAAGCTTAATAAAAGGGGAAAAAACTAATTACACAAAATGAGAATAGACATAGGGAACTCAGTGACTCCATCAAATGTAATAACATTCATATTGTAGGAGTCCCAGAAGAAGAGAGAGAAAATTTATTTGAGGGAGTAATAGCTGAAAACTTCCCCAATATGGGGAAAGAAACAGATATCTAGATCTAGGAGGCACAGATACCTCCCATCAAAATCAACAAATGCAGATGCATGCCAAGACATATTGTAATTAAATTGGCAAAATATACTGATAAAGAAAAAAAATTAAAAGCATAAAGACAAAAGAGGATAGTAATACACAAGGAAACCCCATAAGCCTAACAAGGAATTTTTAAGCAGAAACTTTGCAAGGCACAAGGGAGCGGTGACATGATATACTGAAAGTGCTCAATGGGAAAAATCTATAGCCAAGAATATTTTATCCAGCAAGGTTATCATTCAGACTAGAAAGAGAGATAAAGAGTTTCCCAAGCAAACAAAAACTAAAGGAGTCCATGACCACTAAGCAAGCCCTGCAAGAAATATTTAGGAGAACTCTTTGAATGGAAAGGAGAGACCAAAAATGGTAGTAAAAAAGGTAGGAAACACAAAAACAGTAAATATGAATATTTCTATAAAAAATCAGTCAAGGAACTAAAAAAATAAAAAGGTGTAAAATATGATAATGTATACCTAAAACGTGGGAAGGAGAGGAGAAAAGAATGGGTTCAAAGTTAAATGACAATCAACTTAATATAGACTGCTATATGCTGTAGAGGTAATATACAAACCAAATAGTAACTATATATTAAAAACAACAAATAAAAATGCAAGAATAAAGAGAAAGAAATCCAAATATATCACTAAAGAAAATCTGCAAACCATGAAAAAGAGGAACACAAGAAGGATCAGGTAAGATGTTCAGAAACAACCACAAAACAAATAATAAACTGACAATAAATACATATCTATCAATAACTACTTTGAATGTAAATGGCCTAACGCTCCAATCAAAACACATAGGGTGACCGAAGGAATAAAAAAACAAGACCCTGCCTATAAGAGACTCATTTTAGACCTAAAGACACCTGCAGACTGAAAGTGAGGGGATGGAGAAATACCTATGATGCAAATGGATGTTCAAAGAAAGCTGGAGGAGTAATACTTATATCAGAAAAAATAGACTTTAAAACAAAGACTGTAACAAGTGACAAAGAAGGACATTATATAATCATAAAAGGGACCATCCAACAAGAAGATATAGCAATTGTAAATATTTATGCACCTAATACAGGAGCACCCAAATACATAAAACAATTAATGACAAACATAAAGAAACTAATCAATAATAAAAAAATAATAAGGGAATTTAACACCCTTTCGTTTGTTAGTAGAATTTTGATTACTGATTCAATCTATTTGCTGGTTATGTGTCTGTCCAAATTTTCTACTTCTTTTTGTTTCTGTTTTCGTAGTTTGTTTCTAGGAATTTGTCCATTTCTTCCAGTTTTCCCAGTTTGTTGGCATGTAATTTTTCATAATATTCTTATAATTGTTTGTATTTCTGTGGTGTTGGTTGTGATCTCTCCTCTTTCATTTCTGATTTGATTTGAGTCCTTTCTCTTTTCTTTTTGATTAAGCCTGGCTAAGTGTTTATCAATTTTATTAATTCTTTCAAAGAACCACTTCTTAATTTCCTTGATCTGTTGTACTTTTTTTTGTTTCTATGTCATTGATTTCTGCTCTAATCTTTATTATTCCCCTTCTTCTTCTGGCTTTATGCTTTATTTGTTGTTCCTTTTCTTGGTCATTTAGGTTGTGTATTTAAGACTTTTCTTGCTTCTTGAGGTGGGCTTGTATTGCAATATACCCCTCTTAGGACTGCCTTCGCTGTATCCCAGAAGTTCTGGACTGTCATGTTTTCATTTTCATTTGCTTCTATGTACTTTTAAATTTTTTTCTTTAATTTCTTGTTTAACCAATTCATTCTTTAGTAGGATGTTCTTTAACCTCCATGTATTTGTGGTCTCTCAATTTTTTTCTTGTGATTGATTTCAAGTTTCATAGCTTTGCAGTCTGAAAATATGCATGGCATGATGTCCATCTTTTTGTAGTTGTTGAAGGCTGATCTGTGACCTGTGACCTGGTATGTGATCTATTCTGGAAAATGTGCCATGGGCACTTGAAAAGAAAGTGTATTCTGCTGCTTTAGGATGAACTTTTCTGAATATATCCGTCTTTGGTTTAAAATCTAGTTTGTCTGATATAGGTATGGCTACTCCAGCTTTCTTTTTTTTTTATATGTAATGACTGTAGTAATCAGTTTATTACACAGATTAATCATTCTTGAACGTACAAGCTCCAGAGGAGCAATTGGGTCTTTAAATATACACAAGTATTTCCATCAAATGAATTTTCACCCTTACATCCAGATAGACCTAAGCAGTTAAAAACATAAGAAAAGTAAGAGCTATTAGCTATGTATTAACTGAGAAACCACATACAAACCAAAGAATGTGGAAGAGAGAAAGGGGCTGAAAGGACAAAGTTTGAAGGGTGGGGAGATGCAAAAGATGTGGGACCAAAGCCCATCACACTTTATGTACTAATAGCTCCAATCCATTTAAATGTTGACCAGTTAAACTTAGACCTTAAAATACAGGATGTGGGTAGAGTTTAATCTGGTTGGTCATAACTTTCACCTAAGACGTAGGTCCTTCGGAAAAAAATGAATACAGAAACAGTTTTGTGTTCTTCGCCTTGCTTTTCATAACTGTTCTGAGTTTAAAAGGATTCCACTTAAAAACAATCTCCTACAGGTCAGTGGAGCTTTTCTTCCCCATCCAAGCACACACCATACCCACCACCCCTCACCTTGCCGTTATCCAAATTTAAGTCAATAAGGAAAACTTTTAGTCTCACACCTAGGTTACGCCTGGAGAACTGGCTTGTCACACACACACTTCTCTTCTAGGAGGCAATGTTGGTACAGAAGTACAGTATTTCTAGTTTGTTGTTCCAAGTATGTACAACACGCAGCACTGCTGTATCAGGTAAACATGTGCACAGGGGAAGATGAGGCGTGGGCTCATAGAAAGCAGTCAAATGGAAATCAAAAGGACTTTCTCTTTCAGAGTTCCCTTATCTTTATTTGTAGAGGTTATCCAATAATTTCTTTAATTACATCGCATACTTCTGAGTCCATTCCCGAGCTATTCTGTTGTACTTTTCTCTATCTGTTTTGTAGATCCGAGCAATCTCAGGCACTAAAGGATCATCTGGATTGTGATCATACAACAGAGAACAGATGGACAAGAGTACTTTTGAAATAGTTAGTGCTGGAGACCACTGTGACCGGAGAATATCAAGACAAATGCTGCCATTACTGTTAATATTTGGATGATAAATTCTTGTTGTAAATGCAACCTTAGGTGGCTTGAAGGGGTAATCTGTTGGGAAATGAATTGTCAAGAAAAATACTGCACCCTGATAGGGACTGTCATTTGGCCCCATTATTGTAGCTTGCCAATGGAACATATCATCTCCAACAGGACCTGCTGAACACTGTGCTGGGGGGTCCCGTGCCAGGTCATTCAATTCCTTGTGGATTCTCTTCAGAGCCATCGTGGGAGGCGGGTGGCAGTGGCCCCCCGGGGCAGGGACGGGGACAGGGGAGGGACAGGGAAGGGGCTAGGGGCCACGAGGCCGCCTCGGTGATCGCGGGTCGGCCGGAGAAGATGGGGAGTTCAGGAGCGCGGACTCAGCAGGACTGAGGGCCGGGGCCCACTTGGCTCCTAAGCCTGCCGCAGCGGTTCTCCAGCTTTCTTTTGATGTCCATTAGAATGACAGATGGCTCTTCATTCCCTCACTTTCAATCTACAGGTGTCTTTAAGTCTAAAATGAATGTCTTTTTAATCCGTTCTGATGATCTTGTTTTTTATCCATTCTGATACCCTATGTCTTTTAATTGGAGCATTTAGCCCATTTACATTCAGAGTGATTATTGAAATATATGAATTTACTTCCATTATGTTACCTGTAATGCTGGTGTTTCTGGTGATGATGTCTGTTCCTTTCTAGTCTTTTTTTTGTCCCCCCCCCCGATTCAAAGGGTTCCCTTTAATATTCCTTGCAGGGCTGGTTTGGTCATCATGAACTTTTTCAGTTTTTGTTTGTCTGGGAAACTCTTTATCTCTCCATTCTGAATGACAGCCTTGCTGGATAAAGTATTCTTGGCTGCATATTTTTCCCATTCAGTACAGTGAATAAACTCTGCCACTTTGTTTTGGCCTGCCAGGTTTCTGTGGACAGACCTGCTGAAAATTTGATCTGTCTTCCCTTGTAAGTTAAGGGCTTTTTTTTTTTTTCCCTTGCTGCTTTCAGGATTTTTTTCCTTGTTTGTGTATTTTGTGAATTTGACTATATGTCTAGATGATGGCTGGCTTTTATTGAATTTAATGGGAGTTCTCTGTGCTTCTTGGATTTTGGTGTCTGTGTCTTTCCCCAGATAAAGGAAATTTTCAGCTATAATTTGCTCAGATAAATCTTCTGCCCCTTCTTTTCATCTTCTGGGAATCCTATGATATAAATGCTATCATGTTTTAAGAAGTCACTGAGTTCCCTAAGTCTACCTTTGTGATCCAATACCTTTCTTTCCCTCTTCTGTTCAGTGTTATTATTTCCCATAGTTTTATCTTCTCTATCACAGATTCATTATTCTGCTTCATCCATTCTCTTTTTTTTCATATTTATTATCTATTTTTGAGAGACAGAGTGCAAGCAGTTGGAGGGGCAGAGAGAGAGGAAGAGAGAATCCTCAAGCAGACTCCCCAATGAGCAGGGAGCCCCATGTGGGGTTCAATCCCAGGACCCCAAGATCATGACTTGACCTGAAATCAAGAGTCAACCACTTAATCAACTGAACAACTCTGGTGCTCCCCTTTCTCTTTGTTATGGCAACCATTCAGGTTTGCATCTTGATTTTAGCATTTTTAATTTTGACCTGATTAGATTTTAGTTCTTTTGTCTCTATGGTAAGGGATTCTCTAGTGTCTGCTATGATTTTTTTCAATCCCAGCTAGTATCCTTATAATTTTTGTTTTAAATTCTAGTTCCTACATATTACTTATATCTGTATTGATTAAATCCCTGGCCATTACTTACACTTCCTGTTATTTCTTTTGGGGTGAATTCCTCTCTCTTGTCATTCTGTCTCGAAAAAAAATGTCTAGAGCTTAGGTGTGTTATGATCTGCTTGTTAAAAGAAACTCTCACGGGCGCCTGGGTGGCTCAGATGGTTAAGCGTCTGCCTTCGGCTCAGGTCATGATCCCAGGGTCCTGGGATCGAGTCCCGCATCGGGCTCCCTGCTCCTTGGGAGCCTGCTTCTCCCTCTGCCTCTCTCTCTCTGTCTCTCATGAATAAATAAATAAAATCTTAAAAAAAAAAAGAAAAGAAAAGAAACTCTCACAATTCTAGCTGTAGAGTTGCAGTTTTGTTCTCTCAGTCCTCAGATTGATTTTTTGGATGTTCAGAATGATTTGATATTTATCTAGCTGTGTTCAAATGTCCCCTTAATCCCCCATAATCTTAACTCCTCCGCCTAGGTCTTTAATCCACTTTGAGTTTATCTTTGTGTATGGTGTAAAAAAAAATGGTCCAGTTTTATTCCTTTGCATTATGCTGTCCAGTTTTCCCAACACCATTTGTTGAAGAGACTGCCTTTTTCTCATTGGATATTCTTTCCTGCTTTGTCTTTTCTTGTCTGTAAACATTCTGTACACTGAAAACTATAGAAAACTTATGAAAGAAATTGAGGAAGACACAAAGAAATGGAAAAACATTCCATGCTCATGGATTTGAAGACCAAACATTGCTAAAATGTCTATACTACCCAAAGCAATCTACATATTTCATGCAATCCTTATCAAAATACCACCAGCATTTTTCACCAAGCTAGAACAAACAATCCTAAAATTTGTATCGAACCAAAAAAGAACCTGAATAACCAAAGCAATCCTGAAAAAGAAAAACAAAGCTGGAGCTATCACAATTCCAGACTTCAAGCTATATTACAAAGATGTACTCATCAAGACAATATGGTACTGGCACAAAAACAGACACATAGAGCAATGGAACAGAATAGGAAACCCAGAAATGGTCCCACAACTACATGGTCAACTAATCTTCAACAAAGCAGGACAGACTATCCAATGGAAAAAAGATAATCTTTTCAACAAATGGTGTTCAGAAAACTGGACAGCAACATGCAAAAGGAAACTGGACCACTTTCTTACACTATACACAAAAAGAAATTCAAAATAGATGAAAGACTTAAATGGGAGGCAGGAAATCATCAAAATCCTAGAGGAGAACACAGGCAGCAACCTCTTTGACATCAGCCATAGCAACTTCTTACTAGACACGTCACCACAAAGGGAAACAAAAGCAAAAATGAACTATTAGGACTTCATCAGGATAAAAAGCTTCTATACAGTAAAGGAAAAAAATCAACAAAACTAAAAGGCAGCCTATGGAATGGGACAAGATATTTGCAAAGGACATGTCTGATAAGGGTTAGTATCCAAAATCTATAAAGAACTTATCAAATTCACACCCCATAAAACAAATAATCCAGCTAAGAAATGAGTAGAAGACACGAATAGACATTTTTTCAAAGGAGACCTCCAGATGGCTAACAGACACATGAAAAAATGTTCAACATCACTCATCATCAGAGAAATATAAATATATTTCACGATGAGATATTATCTCACAATTGTTAGAATGGCTAAAATTAGCAACACAAGAAAAAACAGGTGTTGGTGAGGATGCACAGAAAGAGGAACTCTCTTGCACTGCTGGTGGGAATGGAAACTGGTGCAGCCACTCTGGAAAACAGTATGGAGGTTCCTCAAAAAGTTAAAAATAGCACTACCCTATGACCCAGCAATTGTACTACTAGGTACTTACCAAAAGGATACAAAACTTTGAGGGTGTATCTGTACCTCAATATTTATAGCAGCATTATCAACAATAGCCAAAACTATGGAAAGAGCCCAAATGTCCATCAGCTGATGAAAGGATAAATGTAATATTATTCAGCCATCAGAAAGAATGAAATCCTGACATTTGTAATGACATGGGTAGAACTAGCGTATATTATGCTAAGTGAAAAAAATCAGTCAGCGGGGAGGAGCAAGATGGTGGAGGAGTAGGAGACCTGGATTTCATCTGGTCCCAGGAATTCAGCTGGATAGGGATCAAACCATTCTGAACACCTACGAACTCAACAGGAGATCGAAGAAAAGAATAGCAACATCTCTCTGAACACAAAAGCGACCACTTTCTGGAAGGGAGGACGTGTGGAGAAGTGAATCCGAGGTGATATTCGGGAGGATAGATGGCGGGGGAGGGGGCCTCCGTTGGCTGCTTCTGGCAAGTGATAGAGTGGCGGAGCACAAAATTGGAGCTTTTAGAAGTTGACTCCGCTGAGGGATGTCGCTCCAGTGGCTAAGTGGGGGGTGGAACGCTCTCTGGGACAGTGTGGTCTCAGGACCCTCGGGGTCACAGGAAGACCAGGGGTGCCTGAGTGTGGCAGAGCTCCCAGGTATCACAGCAGGGAAGCCAGCTGCAGAGACAGAGCAGAGGAGTGGGCTCTCAGCTCAGGGTTGCCATAAACCATGATCTGTGGCACAGTCCGGCCACTGCTCTTCCAGCAGGGACCCAACAAGCAGCAGATCTGGGGAGATCCCCCTTCCTCCCCTGGGAGGAGCAGTGTGGGAGTGCACCTCAGGGATCTGCTGGGTTTGGAGACTCCGCACAGGGCTGTGTGCCAGAGATACAAACGCTCGGTCACAGGCTGGGTGAGCACAGAGTGTGGCTGGAGACCAGGGAGACGGGAGTGACTGACTGCTTTTCTCTAGGGGCTCACTAAGGAGTGGGGCCCCGGGAGTTCTTGGCTCCTCCGGGGCAGAGACTGGGAGGTTGCCATTTTAACTCCCGTCCTCCAAAGCTGTATGGAAAGCTTGAAGGGAAAAAGGCTCCCAAGAGCAAACCCGAGCAGATTACTTAGGCCAGACCAGCAAGGGCAGGGCAATTCTGCCTCCGGCAAAGATATTTGGGAATCACGGCAACAGGCCCCTCTCCCAGAAGACCTGGAAGAACAGCGAGCCAAGACCAAGTTTACTGATCAATGACAATGGCAGAACTCCAGTGCTAGGGGAATACTGCACATAGAATTCATGGGTTTTTTTTTACCATGATTCTTTAGTCTTTCAAAGTTAATTCTTTTTAACTTTTTTTTTAATTTTTCTTTTCCCTTTTTCAACCAACATCTTATCAATCCCTTTTTAAGAAAAAACAATTTTTTATTTTTCATTTTTAGAGTCATATTCTACCCCTTCATAGTAGTTACCCTTATTTTTGGTATATATAAGTTGTTCTCTCTTTAAAATTTTAGGATACAGTTTCTTCCAACAGATCAAAATATACCCTAAATCTCTAGTGTATGGCTTTGTTCTAGTCTCCTGCCTGATCATATTCTCTCCTTTTCTTTTTTTAACTCCTCTTCATTTTTTTTTAACCAACTTCTTATCTTATCAATTCCTTTTATAAAATCTTTTATAATTTTCATAATTACAGTCATATTCCATTGTATTAACCCTTATTTTTGTACACATATAAGTTTTTCTTTCTTTAAAATTTTAGGAGGTACTTTCTTCTAACTGACAAAAATACGCCCAAAATCTAGTGTGTGGCACTGATCTATGCACCAGCCTGATCATATTTGATCATACTTTGTTTTCTTTGTTTT